TTTAACACTTAATACTTAAACGCACCGTCACGAATCAGGAAGAATAGCAACGGCTGACATCGAATCCAATTAACTGCAATGACCCAGAAGTGAGAATAATCCCAATGGAGGGCGAGAAACCTGCTACAGGGCTAACACACTTACGTACTTCATATAACACACATCACTAGGGGACTTATCGAGCAGTGGAGGTTTCATCGAAAACTGAAAACAACATTGAATACGAGGGTTGGGTGTTACATCAAGTATTAGAGGGATGGAAAAATAAAAAATCTCTTGGAGTTTTACCAAGAGTAACACCTGTATTGGGAGTAACATTTGTATTGAGAATAATACTAGTACTTAGAGTAATAGGTAAGTACTAGAAGTTGCTTCATATAAGAGTAAGAACGAGTACTACTGATCATAAGTAATCTGGTTACGTTTTCTTACAGTGGTATGTGGGGGCGTCGCTTGCAGCATGAGACTGGAGGGATATACATACTCATTGCGTAAAGTAAAGGAACGAAAACATGGGATAAAAAAAACAAAAAAAAAACACAGAATTGGGTCGAGGGAGAATCGTGGTTCCACATCGAAAATCTGGATTTTGCCTTCAATAAAAAAAAACGGATGTATATTTTATTTCAGCGCCTAACCCTGAGGAGCAAGTGAGAATGTCTTTGGTATAATTTTATTGGTGTCGACTGCGGGACTATTACATACAATCTTTGAAAGAGAGTAGTATATGTATATTCTTCATAAGAAGCCGAATTCACTGAAATACAACGATGCAACAAGGATATTCGTCTACGAAACTAAAATATTAATATTCATTTAGCAGCAAAAGCCTTGTCTGTAAACTTTCAAATAGTTACTTTAAGGTAAATTTTCCACAAGCATCTTTCCTGGACACAAGGATCATTGTCTCCAGAGAGGACCAATATTACCGTCTCTGCAATCGCGTTATAGGAAATGGAAATGTGTTCGTAGTCGTATCACAATACACTCTATCCATTGCAAGAGAAGGATTAGCATGCTTTGAGCAGGCGGAGCTTCGGTGCTTCCGTGGCTACTGGTCCAACTGGAGACTAAAGGGAACCAATCTTGCTTTAGTTAAAGTTTATAGCCGATTCGCAAACTGGAATAATTACATACACTTTTTCACGTGTTATGCTCACCAAGTGTATCGTTTACTGATTAAACTGTACCGGTAGAGATAAATTGCAAATTACCCTTTGAGGCAACCAGAAACTGGCCTGGATAATATGGAACATTATTTGCCTGGTTACTAAAGGCGAACCGCAGATATCTAGTTCAGGCCGGGCTTTGCTTAGGACCCGGGGACAAAGAACAGTCGCTAGGACGCAGAACAAAAGTAAAATATTAAAAGAGGCTTCTATTCTACTCGTCGACGGTACACCTCGCGCCTCTGGACATCTTTAATAATTCAGAAAATACTTTAAATGAAAAAAAGGGGTAAAACAATGAAAAAGGCTAAAAGGCAAGTATACGATTGGTGAGGAATCACAACAAACCTACAAGATACACTCCTGTAGTGTACCTAGTACTAAGGGTATACAACAACTGTCTACGTTTGCAGGACCCGGACAAAGTTCCAAACAGAGGAATTCACGAGAAGAGATCTGGGACAACCAGTAATAGGGTCAGAAAGACGGAGCTGGGGTGACCTAACCACTCACAGGGGGTGGGGGGGACTAAGGGCCGTCGGTGTCAACAAAGGTTTCGCCTCGAGAGGTCAACCCGAGGTGTCACAGATCTCTCACACAACGAATTAAAAAAAAAAGCAACATCACAGCTCAGTCGTCTGCACGTGAGCCTGAGTAGCTAGGAGGACATCCTGACCTTTTTTTCTGATAACAAAAAAAAAAGAAAGAAAAAAAAATAGTTCGACGAGAATAGATACACAATCATGACCTGACCCCTGCCCCTACTGCCCCTCGTACCGCAGCAGGGGCAGAGGGATGCAAAGAGATGGGTAAAGACGGCTACAGTTCGAACGGCTAATCCTTGAACAGGTGACTTCCTGTGGGTGGAAGAACTGTCTCAAACAACACTGCATTCATTAATGGTGGCCATGCAACACTAAATCTATCATCATCATCATAATCATCATCACCATCATCTTCAATATCATCTTCATGCACACATGCACACTAGGACAAGCTTGGAACATGCTCAGCGCCCTAAAAAAAAGTGAAAAAGCACGAAAAATGTTTTCTGAAAGAAGCACTCCAGACTGCCGGATTTTTTTTTTAGATCAATTCCTCCTCCTCCGAACTCTTCAAAGCACAAAACAAAAACAATATGGCCACACAACAGGAGTACGTACAGAACATGTGTGTATTAGTGTGTGAAGTCATATACTAAGGCCAAAAAAAATACAAAAAAAAAAAAAAACAAAAATAATGTTGCTGCTATTTAATTATGTACAACTGCCCTTCACCCCTCAGTTACCCTACCCATTAGCAATCAGAATCTCCCAAAAACAAAATGAATGCTTAGTTGCGCACGCTCTGGTGGTCTAGACTTGATTCTGGCTTAGCTACCCCAGGGGATTCCTTAGGCCAGAGAACCGCGTGGCTTTCGGGAGATTGTGGTAACGAACTTAAAGGCAACTCGCTTGCTCGGCTACTGGCTTACTTTAGGGGAGTTCTGAGCCAGAGTCTTAAGGTCTATGAGGTCTCTCTCTCTCTCTCTCTCTCTCTCTCTCTCTCTCTCTCTCTCTCTCTCTCTCTCTCTCTCTCTCTCACTCACTCTCACACACATACACAAACACGCACATACACAAACACTATTTTCACATACACTACTGATATCAAAACAAAGATACACACATAATCTCTCTCTCTCTCTCTCTCTCTCTCTCTCTCTCTCTCTCTCTCTCTCTCTCTCTCTCTCTCACTCTCACACACATACACAAACACGCACACACACAGACACAGACACACACACAAACACTATTTTCACATACACTACTGATACCAAAACAAAGATACACACATAATCTCTCTCTCTCTCTCTCTCTCTCTCTCTCTCTCACTCACTCACTCACTCACTCACTCACTCACTCTCTCTCTCTCTTTCACTCACTCACTCCCCCCCCCCCTCTCTCTCTCTCTCTCTCTCTCTCTCTCTCTCTCTCTCTCTCTCTCTCTCTCTCTCTCTCTCTTTCACTCACTCTCTCTCTTTCACTCACTCTCTCTCTTTCACTCACTCTCTCTCTTTCACTCACTCTCTCTCTCTCACTCACTCTCTCTCTTTCACTCACTCTCTCTCTTTCACTCACTCTCTCTCTTTCACTCACTCTCTCTCTTACACTCACACACACTCTCTTACTGACTCACTCACTCAATCACTCTCACACACACTCACTCTTACTATCCACACTCATCCTCACACATCTGCCATACAACATCGCATACTGTTTCGGTACAAAAATACTGGGTGGGGGTGAGGGAGGGGAGGGGGAGGTGGGGGCGACGTTCCCCACCTGCCGGCATAAAAGTGACCCAACGGCCTGCATTCATAAGGTGTGGGACAAAAAAAACAGGTGCCAAAGTTCAAAGATGCAAAAGTTTAAAGTCAAGCACAGTGGACAGACAGACAGACAGACAGACGGACAGACAGACGGTGGAACTGAGTTGGCAGATTAGTCCAGGGGAGAACAGATGCACAGGTGGCGAAAAAAAGGGCAATGGAGTGACGAAGAATAAGTGTGATAATTAAAAAAAAAAGATATTTAGGCTTGTCAAAACATCCTGTTCCTGGTGTAGTTTTCTGAGCATTTGCTTGTGAGTCTGACACTGAAGCAAGTTCACCTAGATTTGTTTTTATTTACCTTAAAGTGCAGAGACAAAACTATGTATGTATAAATATATAAATATATGTAAATGAATAATCAAACTTTTCACATGATGCAAGAATGCCACACTACTTGCAATATTCAACATGATCTTCACTAACAATTTCTACCACAGTCTAGCATTGTGTCTACATTATTACTCTGCAATCCATTCAAATCATCTACTTTACCTAACAACAGTATACAATATTCTTCTCTATTTCATATATAAGAAGAACACTGTGTTCCTGTGTGGCCTGTCTGGAGCACCTTTCAAGCCTTCCGTTTTCCAAGTCGTTTTACATATAAATAAAATCCCTCTTTGACTGAATTAACTGAATATTCACAGAGAGTAAATTGATAATCGTGATCAGCATCCACACTATTCACTATCTGAAAAAAACGCTATATACATTACTGTTTTAATTAAGAATCCTTTATATACTATCTGAAAAATGCTATATCCATTAAAGTCTTAATTAACAATCCTTTAAACACAATCTAGAAAATGCTCCAGCTAAGGATGCTCCATCCAGACCACAGGATTTAACAAAGGACTTTAGTACACTCCGGGCTCCTTTAGACCGGAATGTTTCTCTGGCAACATCCTACACCTGGTTACTACTGACTGTTCAATTGTGTTCTTTGAATTTGACTCTGTGGGCTTGAACATATTGTAATACTGGACCAAGCTCAGTTCAAAATGGTGATCCCAAAACTGATGTACACGTTTGGAAGTTCGTGAAAAAAAGAAAATGTTGAAATATTGGAATATATGCATATAAAAATAGTCAAAGCATCTAATTACAAATGGTGAAAATACTGCAATATCCAAAAAAATCCAAAGCTTCAAATTAGATTTAAAAAGAAAATGATCACAGCAGTATTCAAAAAGCTATGCTAAACGCGCATAACAAGGAATCAGTGAAAGAGAAGTTAAAAAAAGGGGTTGGACGTAAATTGCCAAGAAAAAAATGACTGAATATAGACTGATAAAAAGGAGGGGGGGCATGTACAAGATCCCCCCCGATGGCAAAATGAGGCAAGAGCAGAGCGCGGGGCCTTTCTCCTTCCTCGAGGCAAGAGAATGAAGGCAGTGGTGGACCAGGTGAGGAGTGCGAGGGGGAAGCACCAGGGAGGTCGAGAGACTACTCACAATCTTGGGTTTGAAGGGCGGCTGCACCTCTCGGTTCTCCAGCTTCACCCAGTCGATTCTCCTGAAGAAGGGGTGTGTTCGAACGTCTTCCTCTCCCTTAGGACCGCAGCCGAGTCGCTTCTGCGGCTGCTTCGTCAGGAACTGTGCATTTTAGGGGGAGGCAAGCGTGTGAGATTGGCTCGGGGGAATGGAACGGACGCAGGATTATTATTTTTTTTCGTCTTAACGTCTGCCTTTTGTGTGCAAGTATTGCTACACGTGATTCTATCCCTGAGGCTTTCATTCGTGAAGTGAAAAAAACTACTTCAAAAAAGCAAAAGGATGTAAACAAACATGACTTCAAACATGACACACCGTCTTCCAAACGACCTTACCACCCAACCCAAAACTCGTTTCAGCGCGAGTCAGTGTACTTACACCCTTGCAACATTCCTTCGCCTCCTTTGAAAGAGCCTTGGGATAAGAGACGTTATGGTCGGTAATCGCGGCAAACAGCTCTTCCTCGTCCTCTCCATCGAAGGGCGGCTGGCCCACAAGCATCTCGTACAACAGCACGCCGTATGCCCACCAGTCTACACTCTTCCCGTATGGTTGGTAAAGGATGATCTGAAAACACACGCAGGGTTTTTAGTCCATTTTCTCACCCGGTACGACTGCCACGAACAGTGTATCATGATATAACTTACAAAGAAAAAATATATATAAATCACAAATAAATACATAAATCTTACAACAGTAAATAAACATATATATATATTTTTTTTGTTTGTTTCTCTCTTCTCTCTTCTCTCTCTCTCTCTCCCCTTCCCTCCCTCTCCCTCTCCCTCTCCCTCCCTTCCCCCTCCCTCTCCCTCCCTCCCCTTCCCCCTCTCTCCCTCTCCCTCTCAGACCCACCTCGGGAGCAATGTAGTCAGGAGTTCCACAGAAGGTTTTGGTCGTCTTATCTCCTCCAATTCCCTCCTTGCACATACCGAAGTCGGCGATCTTGATGTGTCCGTCCTGATCCAGCAAGACATTGTCAAGCTTGAGGTCGCGGTAGACGATGCTGCGGGAGTGTAGATAGAACAAGCCAATGGCAATCTCCGCTGCATAGAATCTGTGGGAGGAAGGAAGGCCGGTCGTCATAAGGGGGTATTCGTTTGCGGGAGGGGGGGGGGGGAGGTGTAAAAAACAATGGTATCGAATTACATAATTGCACAAAAAGGGGGGGAGGGGTGTATCGAATTATATAATCGCTTATAAATTCTTCGAAATTCTCAAACGGGGAAAAGAATGTAAAAAAAAAAAGTATATCGCATCATACAAATACTCAAAACATACTCGGAATGCTCAAAAGGGAGAATACAAAATATACATATATACGAAATATAGAACCCCTAAGAGGTTTACATACACCGCTACTGGTTCCTTAAACTTGCCACACTGCTGGATCTGGAACATCAGGTCACCTCCATTCACGTATTCCATTACAAAGTATAACCGGTCCTGGAATAATCAGGGAGTCGTTACTCGCCGAAGTGAAGCCGAACTCAAGTTATAAACTTCTTTAAATGGCTGTTTACACCTTACTGATCACAGGTTACGTTGTCGATATTCTCTGTACATTTAGAAGACGTACATAATCAACAGCTCTCATATTATCCAAGCGGCAGGAATTTAATCAACAGTAATACTTCTATACATAACTTTCTTTCGACAAAGCACTTCATACTTCAGATCTTAAATCGTGCTATTCTGAATAATCCAGAAACAATATCCCCAATTAAAAACATTAAGATTGAGAAAAAAAAACAAAGAAAGACCCATATTATAAGACCAGAAGCTATTCTGAATAATCCAGAAATATTATCCCCAAATAAAAAAACAAAACAATAAGATTAAGAAAAAACACAGAAAGACCCATATTCTAAAACCAGAAGCTATTCTAAATAATCCAGAAATATTATCCCCAAATAAAACAAAAGCAATAAAATTAAGAAGAAAAAAGAAAAAAGAAAAAGAAGAAGCAAAAAAAGAAAAGAAGAGAAAAGAAAATAAAAGAAAAAAGAAAAAACAAACAGAAAGACCCATAATCTAAGCCCAGAAGCCAGCACTCCCCCAGACGAGGGAGGCTCCGAGGGCCGGACTCCGACCCACCATAGTCTGGAAGCACGAGTGCAGCTGAACGAGGAACGGCGGCTTGCTAGCGAGGGCCAGGACCCTCTTCTCGATCATGGTGCACTCCACGTCGTCGTCCTGGATGATGATGTCCTTCTTCAGGATCTTGATGGCGTACAGCTCGTCGGTGCCCTGCGGAGACACCCACACGCGTTATCGCAGCACTCGTGACATGAGGTTATCAATTGCAAAGCGAGAGGAAGGAGAAAGAGAAACAAAAAGACGGACGAAAGCAAGCACAGGTGACTCTAAAAGGGGGCTCTTGAACGGCCCCCAATCGTGACACTCTGAGGGGGCGTAGTGATAAAACTCGCACCGACTCTCAGGAGAACTGGAGGACAGAAACAGCAAAATAAAAAAAAAATATATATATATATAAAACACACACTCCTCTCCCCCCTTAAAAAAACGAAAAGAAAAACTAATTTAAAAAATACTCATGCATCTATCCCAGTCCACAATCAACAGACAACAAAGCGGTGGACTCCCTAACCAGTACGTACATTACCACACACCCGAGGCAATACCCACACACCCACTATACATACCGACGGTGGAGGGGGAAACCGCCTCTAAAAAATGGAGAAAAGTACCGCCGAAAAAATGAAGATTACGATGTCGACTAATTTACTCTCCCAGATGGCCGGAAACTTTCTTTCCGTCGCCAGTTTTCTTTTGTTTGTTTGTTTGTTTCATTTCTGGTTATTTCTGTCTGAACCTACAGTGATGGTATTTTGTAGCTACTCCACACGGAAAAAAAATAAAACAAAACCAAAAAATCACACGTGGCAAAACCTTCACATGGTAGTGCAGGTGAGAGAGAAAGAGAGAGAGAGAGAGAGAGAGAGAGAGAGAGAGAGAGAGAGAGAGAGAGAGAGAGAGAGAGAGAGAGAGAGAGAGAGAGAGAGGGGGGGGGGGGAGAGAGATGGAGAGAGAGAGAGAGAGAGATGGAGAAAGAGAAAGAGAGAGAAAGAGATGGAGAAAGAGAAAGAGAGAGAGAGATGGAGAGAGAGACAGAGAGAAAGAGAGAGACAGAGGGACAGAAAGAGAGAGACAAAGGGGCAGAGAGAGACAGACAGAACACAGAGCAGACAAAAAAAAAAAAAAAAAAAAAAAAAAAAAGAGAAAAAAAAACACACACACACAAAGAAACAAACAGAAAACGAACGAACCGGAGTAACAAGAGAAAACAACCAACCAACCAACCAAACAAACAGAAAACGTGCGAAAAGAAAAAAAAAAAAGCAAGGCAAACTAAAACATTTGTATGCCGACCCTCCCTTCTGTGCATCTACGGTCGAATGTCGAGGCATAATCTAATATTCAGGCGGCGTGGAAGTCATTACCGTCTGGTTGGCGCCCAATTCAAGGGATTTCTAACAGCTACATCCAGCGAGGGAAACGCAAAATAGCCATTTTCTCTGAAAGGCCAACATATCTTTGCGGTCCAAAGAAATGAAAAGTTTCATCCGATTGAATAAAATAATAGAAACACCTTTTCGTTGCTCTGATTTTAGATTTTTTTTTTTAACGGAATGTTTATTTTGGTTAAATGGATCAGTATTCTTGCTATGTGTTAAGAAAAAAACAAATAAAATCAAATAAAATCAACATGTGGGATGTCACTATCACTGTTATGATGAAAAGAAAAAGAAAAAGATGAAAAGAAAAAGAAAAAGATGAAATAAAGAAAGACAAGAAGGAAGGAAGAAAAGGAATGTTGTGTCAGAAATGCCAGCAAATGATAGCTGTACCTGTACACACACACACACACACACACACACACACACACACACACACACACACACACACACACGTCCTAACATACGTCCTAAATTCTAAACGAAACTATTGTCTCATTTACCCTCAGTTCACAAAAATAAAGAAACAAACAAAAAAAAACAAAGAAAAATACAAATAAAACATAAAAAAATCGCGAAGAAGTTCCGTTCAATCGCACCCCCCCACCCCCCCACCCCCCATTCGACACACCACACCCGTTCATCACCGCCATTTTATTCCTGAACTTTCAACTCTGAAAAAGAAATCTGAAGTAATTACCCTAATGACCGTCATTGCCTCCCTCCACTCTCTCTTTCTTTCTTTCGTTCGTTCTTTCTGTCTCTTTCTCTATCGCTCGCTCTTTCTTTTTCTTTTTCTTTTTTTGTCCTTTATTTCTCGCTCAATCTCTTTCTTTTCTGTCGGTCTCTCTCTCTCTCGCTCTCGCTCTCTCTCTCTCTCTCCCTATCTCACTCCTCCTCTCCCTATCTCTCTCCTCCTCTCTCTATTTCTCTTCTCCTCTCCCTATCTCTCTTCTCCTCCTCCCCTCTCTCTCTCTCCCCCATCTCCCCCCCCCCACCTCCCTCTTACTCTCTCTTCCCCTCTCTCTCTCTCTCCCTCGTTTTTCCTTACAAGAGTCACAGCGTTTCCCTCTTCCTCTTCCTCTCTCTTTCTCTCTCTCTCCCGAAATTCAATACACTCTGGATAAAGCATACATAAGCGGTAACAGAATATGTTGTTTTAGAGGGCATCAGGTAAAAAGGGGGGGCGGGGGTGGAAGGGGGTGGAGGGGGGGGGTGAAAATGCGGTAAAGGGGAGAGGAAAAGGCGAGGAGAAGATAAATGGGGAAGAAAAGAAGCGGGGATAAGGAGGTGGAGGGAAGGGAAAAGGGAAGGGAAAAGGGAAGAGGGAAGAGGGAAGAAGGGGAGGGAAAGAGGAAATAGAGGAGAGAATGAGGGAAGAAAAAGAAAAGAGAGAAGAAGGGAAGGAAAGGGAGAGAAAAACATGAGGACAGAATATACTAGAAGGGAGAGGGAAAGGGAGAGAGAATCAAAAATGGTAAGACGCGTAAGGAGAAAAGAGAGAGAAGAGAAAAGAAAAGAGAAGAGAGAAGAAGAGTAGAAGAGAGAAGAAGAGAGAAGAAGTGAGAAGACAGCAGAACAGAAGAGGAGCGAAGAGATCAAAAGAGAGAAGAAAATACAAGAGAACAGAAAAGAAGAAACGGAAATGGAGTAGAGAGGAATAAAGAGGAGCAGAGAGGAATAGAGGAGAAACGGACATTAGCTGTGTTATTGGTAATGTCCGAGCTCTTAATTGCACGACGGAGGACTCGCCAGAGGGGGGGGAAATGGCGCGCTAACCTGATTTACCGTAAGACCAAGAGGCGAAAGGGGAATGGCGTGGTAAATGCTGATAATAATGGTGGTTATTTGGATGGCGGAGGTGATCACGAGGAGATAATGACGACGATGCTGATAAGAGAGATAATATATCAGCAGTGTAATGTCCGATAACAAACTGGAAAAAAGATCGTTGTAATTTCAAGAGCAATAACATTAATGTTACAGATAATTATGATCAGTAAGAGAAAACACAATAAAAATACTAACAGAAAAATACGTATTAGTGACATAAAAAATACAAGTGACAGAGCAATAACAACAACAATGATAAGAAAATATCAACGACAAAAAAGAAGAATAAAAAAAAGAAGAAAAAAAAATGCACTGATACAATAAGAAAAACGAAAATAACGAAAAAAAAACAATATCAATCAAAGAAAATCGAAAACAACAACAACAAAAAATATTCAACACGATACGGACAATTCACTAACACACACACAAAAAAAATAATAACAACAGAAAATAATAACAATACCCGTAACCATTGCATTAATACGGAAACTGTATGAAAAGAGAAAATAACTAAACTCGCTTTCACAATATATACGACTTTTTTTTATCTAAATCCTCCTCATCATTATCATTAGGCCATTCATTTGCATCATTACTGTTATCACCGTTATTACGAAAAGGAGAGACAGAATGGAGGAGAAAATGAGGCAGAAAGATATAGCAAAAGAAGATGAAGTCATGAGATGGGTAAAGAGGAAGAGGAGGAGGAGGAGGAGGATGGAGTAGGAGAAGAAGAAGGAGGGGGGGGGGGGCGAAAGACCAGGAAGAGGAATAAGAAGAAAAAAAAGAAGGTGAGAGGATGAAGAAGAAGAAGAAGAAGAAGAAGAAGAAGAAGAAGAAGAGGATTTGGAGCAAACAAGAGAAGGAGGATTGAGAGGAGGGGGATGAGGAGGAAGGGAGAGGAGGAGGAGGAGATGAGGTGGAAGAAAAGAAGGATGAGGATGAGGATGAGGATGAGTATAAGGAAGAAAGAGGGAGAAAGGGAGAAGAGAGAGAGGAAGGAGGGATGAAAGGGAACGAGAGTCGAGAAAGAGGGAGGGGAGCGCGGGAGGGGAAGGGAGGGAAGGGAGAACGGGGGTAGACAGGAGGGAAAGGGGGCGAGGGGGAGGAGGGAGGGGAGGAAGGAAAGGGGAGGGAGAGAGAGGGAGGGATGGGGGGAGGGGGCCTTGCGGTGTTAAAGTGGATAGAGTAGCCGCCAGCGATCCGTTCTCGCAGGCAGGCCAACCGCCACAACGCTTCCCTTCCCGTAGACGACGCCCCTCGCACTACGTCAGGAGGAGGCCCTTCCTATGCGTGGCAGAGACGCTTCTCACAACCACGTAAAATATTGAAGAGAGAGAAAAGAAAAAGGCTATTTATCCGCACGTGGACACTTTTCCGTGGCATGGGAAGAGGTGGCGGAGGCGCGGGGAGGGGAGGGGAGAGGAGAGGGGAGGGGAGGGGAAGGGGGGTATCGTCGTCTACAAGTCCCGGCTGTCTTCTACTACCGACTTGTTGAGCCTCCGTGATCCAGTACTATGTGCCCCTCTCTCCCCTCTCTCTCCCCTCGCTTCCCTCCCGCTGCCCCAGGCCCCTCGCCACTCGCGCTTGTCCCTTGCCCCGACTCCTCCTCCCCTCTCCGCCTCCCAGCCTCCCTTCAGTGCCCCTCTCCGCCTCCCAACCTCCCTTCAGTGCCCCTCTCCGCCTCCCAACCTCCCTTCAGTGCCCCTCTCCGCCTCCCAACCTCCCTTCAGTGCCCCTCTCCGCCTCCCAAACTCCCTTCAGTGCCCCTCTCTGCCTCCCAACCTCCCTTCAGTGCCCCTCTCCGCCTCCCAAACTCCCTTCAGTGCCCCTCTCCGCCTCCCAACCTCCCTTCAGTGCCCCTCTCCGCCTCCCAAACTCCCTTCAGTGCCCCTCTCCGCCTCCCAACCTCCCTTCAGTGCCCCTCTCCGCCTC